GCACAGTGTGCAGTTCACTGGACCGAGAGCCTGGGCTGCCACTGCTCTGGCCATGAGGCTCTTGCTGATCATTGCAATTCTGCTGTTCCGGAACCCCACAGGTAACCCAGAGTTTCCAAGGCTCTCACTCACATCCACAATGGGATGCAGGACTTCCAAGAGTCAGCGAATTTTTTTTAAGATTTATTGATTTATTTGAAAGACAGTTACAGAGAGGTAGAGGCAGAGAGAGAGAGAGAGAGAGAGAGAAATCTTCCCTCTACTGGTTCACTCCCTAAATGGCCACAATGACCAGAGCTGGGCCGATCTGAAGCCAGGAGCCAGGAGCTTCTTCTGGATCTCCCAAACGGATGCAGGGGCCCAAGAACTTGGGCTATTTTCTACTGCTTTCCCAGGCCATAACAGAAAACTGGAAGTGGAGCAGCCAGGACTTAAATCGGTGCCCATATAGGATGCTAGCACTGTAGGCAGCAGCTTTACCTGCTATGCCACAGTGCCGGCTCCTCCAGAGAATTTTATAATGCGAAATAGGGGGAGACAGAGCCTTTAGGGATGGCTGAAGTATATTCAGAATCATCAGACGTTCCCTCCTCCTGGGGCCTTCTGCCATGGCAGGGTCTTTTAAAAATCAGTACTCGAGAAGTCAGGCGCTATGGCACAGCAAGTTAAACTGCTGCTTGGGACAGCTGCATCCCATATTGGAGTGTACATTCAAGTCCTGGTTATCCCGCTTCCAGTCCAGCTTCCTGCTGATGAGCCTGGGAAAGCAGCAGCTGATAGCCCAAGTACTCGGGTTCCTGCCACCCACATGGGAGTCCCACTTGGAGTGCCGGGCTCCTGGCTTCAGCCTGGCCCTAGCCCCAACTTTTGCAGGCATTTGAGGAGTGAATCAGTGGATAGATCTCTCTCTCTTTCTCTCTCCCTCCCCTTCTCCCTTTCAAATAAGCAAATACATAAAACTTAAAAAAAAAAAGTACTCAAAGCACCAAAAAGAGGTTACGACTTCCTCTAGGAAACCCTCACCCTAGAAAGGAGTGAGCCGCACACCTGGGGATATCCTTATTTCTCTGGATACACATTTGACTTTGACTTCAGTCACATTTTCTTCCATTAAAATGTGTATTTTAGCCTATTATTCTGTAATGCATGAATAGTGGAAGAAGCATAAACTTTGGACTTGGGTGTTTTCAGCATGGGACACATGACGGAAACTCTCTAAGTCTCTAAGTTTCTTCATCTGTGGAAGTAACGTCTGGCTCTCAGAAGGGTCATTAAATGACAGAACATAGGAGAAGTGGCTAGCGTGGTGCCCGGCACATACCAACAACTTAAAAACTAGAGCTTCCTTGCCTTTTTGAAACCAGATCTCTGATATTTATCCCTTAGGACAGGAATGTAGTTATCCATTGATAGCACCCTGAATTTCTAAGTCCCAAAGGAGTTCTAGAGCCTGGGGGCTGAGGGATCGTCTTTGTTCTCCATCTTTATCTCCTGGGGTCTAGTGCACGGGGAACACAAACTCAGAAGCCAACCTTTGAGCACCTCAATTCTTAGGCAGCTGAAAGGACTCCGGATCACTGAGGGAGAAGCGTATATTCAGGTGAGGGAAAGTCTGGAACTGAATCTTGGAGAACTCTTGCCTCAGGAGAATGGGAAGTCACAGAGGGATGAAACACCTCAGGAACTGGAAGGACTCCAGGAAGCACAGAGAGCTGTGCCCGGTGCCGAGAATAAGTGGGGGAAGATTACTGAGGGGGAAACATACGTGACTAGATAGCAAGAAAAGTCATTCCCTTTTAATGATTTCTTTTTCCTTATTTGAAAGAGGGGAGAGGGAGTTATCTTCCATCTGCTGATGCACTCCCCAAATGCCCGCAACAGCTAGCACTGGTCTAGACTGAAGCTGAAAACCCGGACTCGATCTGGGTCTCCCACATGGGTGACAGGGATCCAAGTACTAGAGACATCACCTGATGCCCCCCAGGGAGCACATTACGCTGCCCAGGGAAGTGGGACTGGAACTCAAACCAGGAACTCGGAGATGGGGTGTGGGCGTCCCCAGCAACGTCTTTTTTTTTTTTTTTTTGACAGGCAGAGTGGACAGTGAGAGAGAGAGACAGAGAGAAAGGTCTTCATCATTTTGCCATTGGTTCACCCTCCAATGGCCACCGCAGCTGGCGCGCTGCGGCCGGCGCACCACGATGATCCGATGGCAGGAGCCAGGTACTTATCCTGGTCTCCCATGGGGTGCAGGGCCCAAGGACTTGGGCCATCCTCCACTGCACTCCCTGGCCACAGCAGAGAGCTGGCCTGGAAGAGGAGCAACCGGGAAAGAATCCGGTGCCCCGACCAGGACTAGAACCCCGTGTGCCGGTGCCGCAAGGCGAAGGATTAGCCTAGTGAGCCGTGGCGCCAGCCCCCAGCAACGTCTTAACCATCATGCCAAACGCCCACTCCGAGAAGGTCATTCTTGATTAGGGTAAAATAGGTAGGAACCCAAGGACGTGGTTTGACTCAACTTTAAAAGCACAGTGAGCGTTTGTTGTTGTCGGGGCATCAGAGGTGAGACAGTGGTAAGGAAATTGTGCCCTGGCAGCATTTAGGAAGGAGGCGGAGTTGCTGGGCTTCCAGGTGGAGTGACGGGATCCTAGAGTGAGGGATTCACTCGTTCGTGCTCCCAAACAAGATCCAGTGTTCTTGCCTAAGATCCTGGAAGACTTACGATGTGAGTAATTCCATTAAACGCTGGAGAATTCTCTTTGCAATAACAGAAACACGCACCCTGTGGGTACCTTACGGCTTCAGTCCCTCCAAGCCTCCTCCGCTGCCTGCCTGCCTCCCCCACGGCCAGAGCCAGCATCCCTCTCAAGTGCCAATTTCCCGTTTTGTCTCCTCCTGGGCACAGTAACCGAGCAACTGAAGAGATGCTGGGACGACTACGTGCAGGGCCACTGCCGCAAGATCTGCAAGGCGACCGAGATCCGCGAGATACTCTGTGCAAACGGGAGATACTGCTGCCTCAGCATCAAGGATGTGAAAGCGCGCAAGGTGATCACAAGGGCCCCGCGGCCGAAGCCAAGAACGCAGGCCTACACTTTTCCTCAGGACCAATTCCCAACGCTGGAAAACTACGCGATTTCCAATGCACATTCTGCATAAATCAAGTCCAACTTTCTGTTTGTTTATTCTCAACCTATTCCAGTAAACTAAGGTGACGAGATCCTCATCTTCTCCTTTCTGGTTTCTTGATCCTCAGAATGACCCTCAAGCAGATTCCAATAAAGCTCCTTGCTATAGTTTTCTGACTTCTCTGTTTGTTAATCAGAGATTGAGCGCTCAGTGTGTGGCAGGTAATGAGGTGAGAGGATATAACTATTGCACTGCAAAGAAAAAAAACTGCATCATTGAAGAGTAGAATAAGAAATTGGGGCCAGTGCTGTGGCACAGTGGGTTAAAGCCCTGGTCTGAAGTGCCAGCATCCCATATGGGCATCGGTTCTAGTCCCAGCTGCTCCTCTTCCCATCCAGCTCTCTGCTATGACCTGGGAAAGCAGTAGAAGATGGCCCACATCCTTGGGCCCCTGCACCCACATGGGAGACCAGAAAGAAACTCCTGGCTCCTGGCTTCGGATCAGTGCAGCTCCAGCTATTGTGGCCATCTGGGGAGTGAACCAGCGATGGAGGACCTCTCTCTCTTTCTCTACCTTTCTCTGTAACACTGTCTTTCAAATAAATAAAATAAATCTTTAAAAAAAAAAGAAAGAAAGAAACTCAAGGAAGATGGATGGAATTCATGGGAGGGCAAAGTGGAGTAAATTCATGAGTGAGTTTACAATAAAAGTGGTGTCTCGGAAAATATGTCCGAGTTCAATAGATGACACTTAGCTGGGAAGGCAACGCCAGTGAACAGAATGGCATCAACAAATGCAGGAGACTCCCCATCCACACAAAGTGGAATCCTATGGAGGTGATGTCCTGGCCTCCCGGGAACAAGCAGGAGGCTGGGAAGACAGGGATGAGGAGGGGTCCGCTGTTACGGAGCCCACCCGATCGAGTAGAGCAGACACAAACGTGAAGCCAAAGCTTCCTTGTTATGATTTCTAAGCACTTGTGATGAACTATATCAATACTCTGTCATGTATTGCCAATGAAAAACCACATTTTTCTCTTTTATTTTATGGTAGTGTCTCATATTTTGTTTCTATAGACTTTATGTATGGAAATATGACTATGTTCAATTATGGCAAAAATAAAGCAAAAAATAGAAACAGGGGCTGGTGTTGTGGTGCAGCCGGTTAAGCCACCACCTGCAATGCCAGCATCCCACATGGGCACCCTGCAAGGCCTGGCTGCTCCACTTCCAACCCCGCTCCCTGCTAATGTGTCCAGGAAAGCAGCAGCAGGTGGCCCGAGTTTGTGGGCCACTGCACCCATGTGGGACACCAGGATGGAGTTCCAGGTTCCTGGCCTCAGCCGGGCCCAGCCCTGGCCGTTGTGACCATTTTGGGAGTGAATCAGCACATGAAAGGTCTCTCTCTATAATTCTGACTTTCAAATAAATAAACGCATCAGAAAGAAAGAAAGAAAGAAAGAAAGAAAGAAAGAAAGAAAGAAAGAAAGAAAGAAAGAAAGAAAGAGAGAGAGAGAGAAAGAAAGAAAGAGGAAGGAAGGAAGGAAGGAAGGAAGGAAGGAAGGAAGGAAGGAAGGAAGGAAGGAAGAAAGAGGAAGGAAGGAAGGAAGGAAAGAAGGAAGGAAGGAAGGAAGGAAGGAAAAAATTCATTTTTTTCTAAAAGAGGGGAAATACTTGAAATACTGTGGCATTTTTCTTGCGCAGAAAATGGAGGGTCTAACTTCCACTTCTGCCAAAGTGTTCACTTAATCTCACTTGCAAAGTGAACCAGTGGATGAAAGGTGTGTGTGTTTCTGCCTTTCAAATAAAATAATTAAATAAATTTGAGATTTTTTTTATAATGAGCGAATACATCAATAAATAAATCCAAGGCTACACATGGGACTTTATTATGTGGGGAATGGAGTTCCCGGAGGGAAGTAGACACAGCTCCCCCGGCGGAGTGGGCGGCACTCGGCGTCAGGTGCGGCGCCCAGCGTCAGGTGCGGCCGGCTCAGGGCTGCGCCGTCGTGAGGAGCGTGGTGGTGGGGAGCGCGATGTAGTCCTGGACTTCCGCGGACTTGTCGGCGGTCTGTGCAGGCGGCTTCTGGGCCTCCAGGTACTTCCTGTTTTCTCCTTCATTAACACAACACAGTTTCCCACTTAGACATCCCATCTCAGAAATCTCGCCTAGCTTGCACCTCTTCCTGCAGAAGCCTGACACGTTATTAAAGCATTTTTTGGGCCACGCCCGATCTGTGCATGAGAAACAACAGTGAACCCAGGTCAGTTTCTGAGCGAGAACGGGAAGGTAAGAGATGCCGGTGTCGCCTGCGCGCCCCGGGTGAACTTTATGCTGATAAAGAGAAAGCCTTGAGCCCCCCGCTTGAAAATCATCCCCCACGGCGGACATTCAGAACCCCAATCCAAGGCCCAGTTGGCTGCGAGGACATTAGCACGCAAGTCACAAGCGTGCCTGGATCTCTTCGGTCCCTGGAGAGGCGACGCTCTCCTCTCTGCTCTGTCAGCGACCCCTGCGCCCAGCCTGGGTCCCAGGTCCCGGGGAAGCCCCCCCAGCACGGTCCCGGACTTAGACTGCGGAGGGCGCGTTGGAGCCCACAGGGTGACCCAGCCTTTCGCCCTCACTGTCGTGGCAGCTGCCGCCTCCCTCAGCCCACGGGGACCGCCGTGAAGCGGTCCCTTCCCGTCACCCCCTCTCTTACACAAGCCGCACCTCCGCCGCCTCTCAGGCTCCCCTCTCCTCCAGGGGAATGCGGTATTCACTAACTCCCTGGGCTGTGCCTGGGAAAGCAGGGGAAGATGGCACAAGTGCTTGGGCCCCTGCACTCACATGGGAGGCCTGGAAGAAGCTCCTGGCTCCTGGCTTCGGATTGGCTCAGCTCTGGCCTTTGTGGCCATTTGAGGAGTAAACCACTGGATGGAAGACCTCTCTCTCTCTGTCTCTCCCTCTGTAACTCTGCCTCTCAAATAAATAAATAAATCTTTAAAAAAAAAATCCCATTCACAATAGCCACAAAGCAATCAGATAATAAAAAGAAAGTGCGTTTGAATGGAGAGAGGGATGGGCAGGCTCTTGGGTGAAAAATGTGTCAATCATGAAGCCAATTCCAGACGATGGGCTCGTTGCTGCCTTTGGAAGGAACCCGGACGCCTCGGCCTGACCTCCCCCGCCCGCCCGGGTTTCTCCTCTCAGGCACAGACGCTCAGGGCCCCAGGTGCACGGGTGGTTTAGATGACGTGGGCTGGATCGCAGCAGCCTGTCTGCACTCCATGAGCTCTGGCATTTCCTGTGGTCCTATGGTACATTGGCCAGTTTACCTTGGGGTACCTCAAACAGCAGAACCATGAAAACGAGAAACAGCTTCATGTTTACAGACTCCCCGAGGAAGAGGCAGCAGGGGGTCTGTCCACTGAGCCGGAGCACACCGCGTCTTTTAAGATGATCCGGAATCCTGAGTGCTACCAGCATTTAAGCTCTCATTTTAACCCACATGGACAGACAGGAAATCCAAGTCTACTCCCACCTCCACTCCCAAGTACGGAGTTCATGGTCACACAATGTTCCATCACATCAGACCCACTCCCCCAGCTCGTGTTGTGACCCCATGGACAGCAGAGTCTATGAGTTCTTCACCTGGGCTGCCAGTCTGTGGGGATCAGGATTTGTGGTCATACGCTCTGCTTTGCATAGAACAATCCAGATTTATTTCCTTTGTTCTAATGTCCATTCAGCCGGCGCCACTCACACTCACGAAAGTAACCCAGTTTGGAGCCTGAGTCAAGGTAGACACATACATTTTTTAATGCATGAAACCTCCAGTCATTCTAGGAGTAAGACTATTTTTGAGTTTGCCTGGATAAATTGATACTATTGCAAAGCTTCCCAGAAAGTCTTACCCATGATTCTACAGTTGATGCCTTTCAAAAGGTAAAAGCTCCAAGCACAGCGTCCAGCCCATGGTAAACACCCTGTTCTCTCTGAGGCATTTAAAGAACCATTTATCATGCTGCCAAACTGGCGGTTGATGTCCACTGTCCGGCTAGCTGTTTCTGCAGCCTGCTTCTTTTCACATTCAAGACCCTCTTCACGGGGCTGGCACCATGGCACAGCAGGTAAAGCCGCCACCTGCAGTGCCAGCATCCATACGTGACCCAGCTGCTCCACTTCTGATCCAGCTCTCTGCTATGGCCTGAGAAAGCAGTGGAAGATGGCCCAAGTCCTTGGGTCCCTGCACCCACGTGGGAGACCCGGAAGAAGCTCCTGGCTCCTGGCTTCAGATCGGCCCAGCTCTGAATTAACCCAGCTCCAGCTGTTGCAGCCATTTGGGGAGTGAACCAGGGGATGGAAGACCTCTCTCTCTTCTCTCCCTCTCTCTGTCTGAAACTCTGCCTCTCAAGTAAATAAACAAATATTAAAAAAAAAAAAAAAAAAGGAGGAAGCATTCCCAAGTGCTGCTGGTGCGTCAAGATGAGAAAGAGTAACTGACCAGTGACTCCACCAGCATCCCGGCTGATTCAGCTCCGTGACCTCTTAGATGCGGCTGCTAGATAACAAATGCGTGTTTCATTCCTTACTTACTTTAGTCCCCACAAGAAAACTGTGACTCAGAACTCAGTGTCTGTGTCTCCCATTGGAAAACTACAACGAAGAGAGTATAGCCCATGCCCCATGTCACACAGCCAGTGAGGGATGAGCTGGATCAACTCAGGTCTTCGTGGACCTAAAAGCAAAGGCCTTGGCCTCTCTGTTAAGCTGCCTCATTGGGGAATCTTGGGAGACTGAAGACCAAATATTCAATAAGCTGTTGCTCTATTCACAAAACGTGTTGGTCATGCGCTTGGCTGGACGTCAGCACCTGGTTCACTCCTCTTCCCCTTTCCTGGAGGGCAGCCTACATGAAGAGAATTTACATTTCTGACATTCTACAGATGATGTTATCGCAGTCTGTAAGTCATAGTGCTTGCCTACTTTCCTGTATTCGTAAATCTTTTTGTCTGTTCAGCTCTGTCAACTCTGTAACGTCAGAAAACCTGCATGCCATCTTGGTTAGCACAAGGAGCACACAGTCTGCTCGTGTCCAGTACTGCAATGCTGCTTAGACCCGGCCAGTTAAAAAAAAGTCCCCACCGACCTCCCACTGCGAGCCAGCCATCGGAGCACAAATTGCTTTTAATCCCTTACTTATAAATGGACTTCCAGTGTGTGCTCCATTCTAAGCAATATTCTTCGAATTCTACTTAAGATGTTATCTTTCCTAACTGCTGAACAGGCTGCCTCTGGGCAAGAAATGCGGTTACTAATCCCATCTTATAAAGCCTGGGCGAGCGGAGGCAAGATTCTCCCATGGTTCTTTGTTTAAGTGAATTAACATTTTGTGCTGGAAAAAAAAAAGACACACAGGAAGCAAAAAGAAGAAAATAAAAGCATTCATGATTTCACTTCTTTCTGTGCACATTTTGATTTTTAGCCTTCTAAAAATGCTGCCCCAAAATTTATTTTTGTCAGCTGTGTAAAAGATAAAATGAAGCAAAGTGGATAAAGAAAATGTGACACACACACATATATATATATATGCATATATATATGACGGAATACTATTCAACCATAAAAAGAAATTAAATCCTGTCACTTGCAACAAAATGAATGGAAAAGAGAACATCATGTTAAATGGAATAAGTCAGACACAGAAAGACAAATAGCATATGTTCTCCCTCATATGTAGGAGCTAAAAACCAATCTGTTTACTGGTTATTCTAGTCATAATGTGATTACTAGAGACTTGGGGAAGGGTAGGAAGGATGGTAAAGGAAGTTTGGATTAAAAAAAATGGCGTCAATATTGTAACTTTGCAAGTAAAGCAGCCACCTGTGACGCCAGCATCCCGTTTGGGTGATGGTTCAAGACCTGGCTGCTCCACCTCTAATCCAGCTCCCTGCTAATGTGCCTGAGAAAGTGGTGGAAGGTGGTCCAAGTGCTTGGGCCCCTGCACCCATGTGGGAGACCCAGAAGAAGTTCCTGGCTCCTGGCTTTGGCCTGCCCTGTCCCAGCCATTGTGGCCATTTGGGGACTGAATCAGCAGATGGAAGATACTCCTCTCACCTCTCTCTCTCTCTCTCTCTCTCTCCCTCATTCTATGTAACTGACTTTCAAATAAATAAATGAATCTTTTAAAAAAAAGTTGAGGAACCTGGGTGTGGTTCAATGTTTGTGACAAATATATCATACTAATATGAGATGTTGATATTAGGGGAACTGGTTGTGGCTTGTTAATTGTGACAAATATATAATACTGATATGAGCGGTTAAGGAGCAGAGACCTTAGGTGTGAGACAGACAGGAACTCTGTACTACTTCACAGTTTTTGTTTTGTAAATCTAATACTATTCAAATAAAAAAGTTTATTTGAAAAAAAAATAAGTAAAATTGGTTTGCCTTTCATCTACTCAGTTTAAAATAAAGGCTTCTGGGCTCTCGTTGTGGCATAGCAGGTAAAGCTGCCACCTGCAGTGCCGGCATCCCATATGGGTGCTGGTTTGAGTCCCAGCAGCTCCACTTCCCATCTAGCTCTCTGCTGTGGCTTGAAAAAGCAGTAGAAGATGGCCCAAGTCCTTGGGCCCCTGCACCCATGTGGGAGACCTGGAAGAAGCTCCTGGCTCCTGGCCACTTGGGAAATGAACCAGCGGATGGAAGACCTCTCTCTCTCTCTCTCTCTCTCTTGCTCTTTCTGCCTCTGCCTATCTGTAACTCTGCCTTTCAAATAAATAAATCTCAAAAGAATTTTTTGTAAAGGCTCCTAGTTGAACATGCTTTGAACAAACACTCAGACACACACACACACAGACACACACAGTCTATATTCATCTCTCCAATTTAAGAGAGACCTGATGACAAAACAGTCATACACCAATGCAGAGGAACCCATGTCAGCTACCTCTAGTAGTCTGCTTTCCTACCTAAATACACGTAAACAGAGAGTTTCAGGAAAATAAACAACTTTAAAAAGAACTTAAATGCACAGAAGGCATAAATTACCTAAAAGGAAATGAAATTAATACCTGGAACAGAATTTTTTGAAAAATTGTAAGAGTGAGTTACAGGCTTGATTTTATAAAATGGTTAACACCTTCATAACAAAATGCATGCATAGAAGATACAAGCCAGCATGAGATTAAAACACAATCAGAGGGGCCGGCGCTGTGGCACAGCGGGCTAAGCCGCCGCCTGCAATGCCAGCATCTGGTTCATATCCCGGCTGCTCCTCTTCTGATTCAGCTCTCTGCTATGACCTGGGAAAGCAGCAGAAGATAGCCCAAGTCCTTGGGCCCCTGCACCTGCATGGGAGACTCAGCTGAAGCTCCTGGCTTCCTGGCTTCGGATCAGCACAGCTCCAGCCATTGTGGCCACTTAGGGAGTGAATCAGAAGATGGAAGACCTCTCTCTCTCTGTCTCTGCCTCTCTGTAACTCTGCCTTTCAAATAAATAAATATTTAAAAAAAATACAATCAGAGTATAAAACATCTTATATGCATTTTATACCATAAAAGGATTGGTATTTAGACTATATAGAGAATATCTATAATTCAGTAAGAAAGTGACAAATGACCCAGTAGGAAATAGGAAAACAAAATTTATAGTAGCAAAACAGGTAAACACCTTCTTTAGTAGGTTGATAGAAATTCAGAAACATGATACTCCCTTCAAGATAATGCCTCTAAAGGAGAATTCTCAGTGTACTTTTTAAAAAAGATTTATTTATTTGAAAGAGAGTTACAGAGAGAGGCAGAGGCACATAGAGAGAAAGACAGAGAGAGAGAGAGGTCTTCCATCTGCTGGTTCACTCCCCAGATGGCTGCAATGGCTGGAACTCTGCTGATCTGAAGCCAGGAGCCCGGAGCTTCTCCAGGTCTCCCACATGGGTGCAGGGGCCCAAGGATGTGGACCATCTTCCACTGCTTCCCCAGGCCAGAACAGAGAGTGAGCTGGGAAGTGGAGCAGCTGGGTCTCGAACCGGCACTGCAGATGGCTGCTTTACCCACTACATTACAGCGCCAGCCCCGGGACCGTGTTTTACATATTACAAAATTCGCATTTGGATCCCTATTTTTGTATTTGGACAGCAATTATAAAGCACTACATAAATGCATAAAAGTGGCTTAGGTGAGAATAATAGTTCATAAATTTTCTTTGCTTAAACACTGAAGATGTGAGTTAGCTTTAAGTGTGCCATTTGACTATTGCTCTCCTTTCTACCCAAAGCCTTTAAAAGATTAAAATATTTGAAATAAACAATGCCATGGTTTTGTCTGCCTGCTCCTATGTGTTTCAGATCATTGCCTAAAATCAAAATGAATCTCAAGTTTTATGTGCTTGTTATCCCTTGATGGGATGCCCTGGTGGGTAGATTAAAATACACTGGGGGTAGCCAGTGGCACGAAGGAGAGGCGCAGTGGGCTTGCTCTTTCCTTCCCGTCTTACGTGGCCCAGGACTTCCTGCCCCTCGAGGATCAGACGCAGGGAACGTGCGGCGTGGTGTTCAGGGATGCTGTTCTCAAAGCTAATCCGCGGCCGCTGCAGCCGGCGCGAGAGGCACCCGAGCCTGTGCAGGCTGCACTTCAGTGCTCCTGGCCTAAGGCTATGCAGAGCCCAATAAAGGCTGCGGCGCAGAGCCACCAGCCCAGACCTCGGCGGCCGCCTGGCACCCAGTCATGAAGCTCATTCTCCCTATCTTTGCCAGTCTCATGCTGCAGTACCAAGTGAACACAGGTAATGTGGACTCCTGCAGTGCGGAGGGCTTGTTGCAAGGAAGCAGAACCGTGGCTGCCCACGTGAGGGGAACGCAGAGACGCTGACAGAGGAGACGCTCAGAGAGGGTGGACGAGCTCACCCCTTGTACAAGTCACATGCCATCCCTGGTGCACCCCCGTTAGCCCCCACCCTCAGGCTGTGTCCATGGAGATCCCCAGGAAGCCACAGGGAAACAGAGTTTTTTGTGCACTCAGACTATCCGACATACAATGCTAGCTTCCCGCCTCGAGTGTATCAGAAGCCTCAGACTCAGTGCAGGACTCTCATTTGAGCTCTTTTCCTTTTTTTGCTTAGTTTTGTTTTTGTTTTTAAGGTTATTTACCTATTTATTTAAGAGGTAGAGTTATAGACAGAGAGACAGAGACAGAGAGAGCGGTCTTCCATCTGCTGGTTCACTCCCCAATTGGCCGCAACGGCCAGAGCTGCACCCATCCGAAGCAGGAGCCAGGAGCTTCTTCTGGGTCTCCCATGCAGGTGCAGGGGCTCAAGGGCTTGGGCCATCCGCTACTGCTTTCCCAGGCCATAGCAGAGAGCTGGATTGGAAGAAGAGCAGCCGGGACTTGAACCGGTGCCCATATGGGATGCCGGCGCTGCAGGCAGAGGCTTAGCCTAGGATGCCACAGCACCACCCCGAGCTCTATTTCTAATTTAAGCTCTCCCTTGAAACCAACATCCCTATTGGTTTGTGCCTCAGGGTAGGAAAGAGGAAATCCTTGCCCTTGTGCTTCAAAAAGTCTCCCCTTAGGATCCAGAGAATATGCCTGGGTTATCCACCCCAGCTTTCCTGGGTTTTCAGTCTTATCCCTTCTCTCAGCCTTTGCCTCCCTTGAAATCTCCAAACTACCATAAAGGCACCTGGGAATGCATGCAGGCAAAATGCTGAGCCGGAAGAGTGGCCGCTATTTTTGGAAAAGAAGGGAGAAGCACTGAGACTGCTTTCAGGCCACAGGCACGAGCCAGGACTTGGAGGAATTAGCAAGGGGTCAGGGAGAAGAGAGTAAAAGGGTCAGAGATGCTTGTGATGTTGTCATCGGGGCCCTGGGAGAAGGGCGCTGCCGCAAGCAGGCACGCCATTGGTGTCGGTATTAACACTGCACTTCAAGCTCCCCGTGAGCGGGACGAGGCTAATAAATCAGCTGCTCCCAATACCAGCATTTTTCTCTTTTGTACTTAGAAACAACACAGGAATGCAAGTGATTGTGCTTTAACAATTATTCAATGCCACATAAGCCTCTTGGAATTTATGAAAAATTGGCTGAATTGTTAATGTGGAGGAGGGAAAAGAGTTTGCTAGATCCAGGGGAAAAAGTGACACACTGGGCAGGAACAATCAGCAGGTAGATGGAGACGACGCCCTGGGCTGGGCTGAGAACTAGGGCTGCGGGAAACGCACTACAGTGTCTTGCCAGAGGGGAGGTTAGGGCACAGTAAGGAGTGGGACCTGGCGGGGACGTGGTGTGCAGAGCAGCTTCAAAGAGACAGAACATCATGCCCCAGGAGTCACAGGGCCGGGACAAACCAGGAGGGAGCGCGCAGGGGCCACTGAGCTTGGCAAGAGGACAGCAGTTCTGAAAACCTTACTGATTCTCTTCTCTTTAAAAAAAAAAAAAAAAAAAAGATTTATTTATTTATTTGAAAGGTAGAAAGAAATGGCTGCAATGGCCGGAGCGTCTTCCAGGTCTCCCACGTGGGTGCAGGGGCCAAAGGCCTTGGGCCATCTTCTCCTGCTTTCCCAGGCCATAGCAGAGAGCTGGATCGGAAGTGGAGCAGCCGGGACTCGAACCGGCGCCCATATGGAATGCTGACACTGCAGGCGGCAGCTTTATCTGCCATGCCACAGCCCCAGCCCCCCTGATGCTCTTCTGAATTCCTTCCTGGGGTAGTTTTTCTGACAGACTTTACCCGCAATGGAATTTCCTAAAATCAGCAGGGTGAGACGCTCCGTGCAGGTCTAAGTGCGACACTGGAGGTCCTAAAAGCAAATCTCTGGCACTCCTAGTCTTTCACCCATGTGTCCTCAGATTTTTGAAGTTAATTGAAGAAGCCAGACGAAGGCAGGGGTTTGTCTGGGATCACAGAGGTGTACAAGGACGCTTGTGGGCTGCCCAGGTGCGGTCACCAACGTCCCCAGACCCTGCACCCTACTCGTGAGAGTTCAGTAGTTTCCCACTTCTGGTATTCTCCTCCCTCCAGCGGTTCCACTGTCACATCTGGTTATCTGTGGTGCAATGGTTTTCTCTTTTCTTTGTGCAGAGTTTCTTGTCTTGAAAAAATGCTCAATGGGCTTTGGGAGATGCAGAAACCAGTGCGCTGCAGACGAAAAAGAGGTACAGAAATGCAAGAAGAAAAAGTGTTGTCTTGACCCCAAAGTGGTCCAGTTTATAAAAAGCTACCTGAAAAATCAAATACCCCACGTCCTTGGCGACGACGTCCCAGAAATGCTGAAAATTGACAGAGATTTTGCCAAGATAAAAACACGATACGTTTTTCCTCTTCCCACAAGAAATAACAGCCTCCCTTCTGCCGGTACCAAATCTGTCATCACCCCAAAGGCCACCCCCATGAATCCAGAACCTGTCACGTCTGCTGCTGTTTCTAGCAAGAGTGACACCAAAGGCCGCGTAGCATCTGCCACTGCCTCCCCACCCCCAGCACCGCCACCACCGTGAACACGGCCGAGGCCGCCACGGACACAGCTGGACCTGGAGGAAGCAGATGAGCACAGATGCGGGCCCCTCCCTCACAACGCCGAGTCCCCCTCGATTTTCACTGTCTGTAAAATGAGACATGCTTCTTCTGTCATCAGCGATTCAATAAATACTGCTTAAGCACCTACAGTTTATGGAATGTTGTTCTCACGAGAGCCTCACGGAGGAGAGAGAGCGCTAAGAGGGCCAGAAGTTCCCAGTTAGGGGGCTCAGCGGAGGGCAAGCACCAGCAGTGGTGCCGGTGGCGTTGAGTTTGGCCTAGGCATGAGCATCTGCGGTGCTCACCCGGCATCCCTTGCCTGAGGCAGCAGGCAGGAAAGCATCAGGAGATGGGTCTTCCTTTCTTGTAGCCTATGGGAGAGAGACCTATGTGGAAAATAGGGCCGGCGCCGCGGCTCACTAGGCTAATCCTCCGCCTTGCGGCGCCGGCACACCGGGTTCTAGTCCCAGTCGGGGTGCCGGATTCTGTCCTGGTTGCCCCTCTTCCAGGCCAGCTCCCTGCTGTGGCCAGGGAGTGCAGTGGAGGATGGCCCAGGTCCTTGGGCCCTGCACCCCATGGGAGACCAGGAGAAGCACTTGGCTCCTGCCATCGGATCAGCACGGTGCCCCGGCTGCGGCGGCCATTGGAGGGTGAACCAACGGCAAAGGAAGACCTTTCTCTCTGTCTCTCTCTCACTGTCCACTCTGCCTGTCAAAAAAAAAAAAAAAAAAAAATATTCGTGGCAAAACCAAAAAATAATTTTAATAATATATTTTATGCAATGCAACATATACAAACCATTATCCCATCAGCATGTAACCAATGCCAAAATTATTGATGAGATATTTTACCTTTAGGATACAGCGTTTACGTGTCATGTGTGCATTATACTTCCAGAACACTTCAGTTCCTGCTGACCACAGTCCACGGGCTCAGCACGCACATACGGCTTGAGGATGTCGTGTGATACTGGACAGCCCAGGGCAAGTGAGTTTTGGGGACACCGTAGCTGTAGACCTGTCGGGCAGAAGGGCTGATACTAATCCAGAAAAGACAGCCTTCCTGCTGAAAGGTGTGGCATAGAATTTACGAGTACAGAAATCCAGGTCTGGTTTCCGGAAATAGTATCCTGATTCTGTCCTTTTCAACTGTGTGGCTTTGAATGAGCCATTTATCCAGTTTACTCATTCATAAAATGGAGGCATAAACATCATATTTTATCCCAGAATTCATCAATCTCAGATCATTCTTCCTTTGTAGCTTAAAATACAATGGCATGCCAGGTTTTTGCACAATGTTACTGAGGTATAATTTATTGATAGACAGAGCTGCACATTTCATGTGTTCAACCGGGTGAGTGGGAGCCTACACAACCACCTATAAGGCCATCACCACAATCCAGTTAATGGAGTCATCACCTCCCAAAAGTTCACTTGCTTTTGTTTTCTGTTTTGGGGGAGGGGGGGTTGTTTGTTTTTAGTGTTTACCTGAGATCTACCCTCTTAACAAATGTTGAATTACACGAGAGCATATTATTAACTACAGGCCACTCTGTAGAGCAGGTCACAAAAACTTACTCATCTGGTGTAACTGAAATTTCACACCCATTTCCCCTGGTAACCAAGACTGTATTCCGTATATCGATGCATTTCACTGCTGGAAACACCCCCTGGAAGCAGACATGCTGTGACTGGGCCTTTACACTGGATCTCACACCCACCAGCTTCATCCATGCTGTCACAAGCGACAGAATCTCCGTTTTTACAGTCACTAGCTTTCCACTGTGTATAAACATAGGCTATCCATTTGTTATGTCTTCTGTCAACAAGCAGTTTGCACCCACACCCTGGCTAAGTGACTATGCTGTGAAGGACATGGGTGACACCGTGCCTGCATCTCCGTTGGGTATATACCACGAGTGGGATTGCTGGATCATAGCCTAGCTCCGTTTCTGTTTTTTCGGTCTTACAGAATGGCTGTACTAATTATGGCCCCGCCCACAGGATGCAAGAATTCCCTTTCCTCCACATTTTTGCTGTTGCTTTCTTTTTTATGATTTATTTATTTATTTATTTGAAAGGCAGAGTTGTGCTCGCTTCAGCAGCACATATACTAAAAGGCAGAGTTACAGAGAAGCAGAGAGAGAAAGAGAGAGAGAGAGACAGGTCTTCTATCTGCTGGTTCACTTCCCAAATGGCCGCAATAGCCAGAGCTGGGCCAATCCGAAGCCAGGAGCCAGGAGCTTCTTCCAGGTCTCCCACGTGAATGCAGGGGCCCAAGGACTTGGGCCATCTTCTACTGCTTTTCCAGGCCATAGCAGAGAGCTGGATCAGAAGAGGAGCAGCTGGGACTAGAACCAGCACCCATGTGGGATGCCAGCGCTGCAGGCGGCGGCTTTGCCCACTACACCGCAGTGCTGGCCCCTTGGATTTTAATGATAGCTGTTCTAACGGAGGTGAAGTGACATTGTGGTTCTAGTTTGCGTTTCCCTGGTGGTGGTGGTTCTGAGCATCTCTTCACATTCCTATTGGCCATTTGCGTGTCTTCTTTTAAGAAATCTCTCTTTGGGTCCTTTGCCCATTTTTTAATTGGAATATTTGACTTTTTTACTATTGAGTTGGACTAGTTCTTTATAGATTTTGGATACAAACTTACGCAAATGTTTCCTCCCATTCTGTGGGTCGCCTGCTGCTCCACCGACTGCCTCCTTTCCTATTCAGATGTAATCCCATTTGCTTACTTTTGCTTTTGATGTCATTTCCAAAATAATTCCTCAGGCCAATGTCGTGGGGTTCTTCCCCTTCATTTTCTTCTAGCGATTTCATAATTTTAAGTCTCATAGTCAGTGATCCATCTGAGCTATGTTCTTGGCACCTTTGTCAAGGGACAAATGACTGCAGAGCCGGGTGTCGCTCCCCCTCTTCATGGAGGAACGACACTAAACCCTGCCTAGGCTTCATATCCGAGTCACGGCACCATTATGTCGCTCCCCGTCTTCGTGGAGGAATGACACAGGACCCTGCGTTGTTCTTTCGTCTGCTCGGCCCTCCCCGGGTTTGCTGCTGGTTCTTCCCGGGTTGGCTGCCGTCCCTTCCACCTCCGTGGAAGGGCGGTTCCCCCTGGCCACTTTCCCCACTTCCGCAGGGGAGCGGCACACCGCTGGCCGGCTCCCTCGGGGGCTGCACAGGTGTTCCCCTTAGATGTTCCCCTTAGATGTTCCTGGTGCGTGCCGTCTCTCTCCTCCTTCATAGTCCTCCTCCGCCAATCCCAACTCGGCTGCCCACACGCCGAGCACGCTGCTCTCCTCCAATCAGGAGCAGGATCAGCTCCCGGAGGTCATCACTCAAGTTGGCAAGAGGCAGCTGCGTAGAAGCTGTTTTCTTCTCTCCCAGCGCCATATTGTGGGAGAGCAGATGCATAGAATAAGTCTTAATTCCAGTAACTCAGTCCAGTCCGGGTTGCTCCCCACACCGGGCACTTTGCACAGCAGTTGGGGTGCCATTCGGGACACCCACGTTCCATGCTGTAGTAACGGGGTTCAAGTCCCAGCTCCCCTCTCTGCTCCAGCTTCCTGTTAATGCACAACCCGGAGGGAGAAGGTGGTGGTTCAAGAACTAGAGTCCCTGCCACTCGCCTGTGTGAGAGACCTGGACTGGGTTCCAGTGTCCCCGCGCTGGCCTGACCCAGCCCCACCTGGTGTGGGTATTTCAGCAGTGAGCCAGCAGACAGAATCCCCCAGCCTCTTCAAAAAATAAAAATTAGCTACTTAATAATTTCTAAAATTGGCCATATACGCGTGGACTTATTCCTGGGCTCTCCAGTCGGCCCCATTGGTCTAGGTCTGTTTTTATGCAGGGATGTGTTTTCAGACTAGGGCATTCTGTGAGCGTTCACTCAGTTCAGACCGTCGCTCCAATCTACTGGCCCTAAGAGTAGAGGTTTCTAATTGCTCGGCCCTGGCTCGCTGCCTACCTTTTGATCTCATTTGAAGTCCAGTAAAAGTTGGAGCTCCGGGTAAGCGACACAGGGAGAGCCGTCCTGTCCGCCTCACTGCGCTCCCCCAGGCGTGTTCCCAGCCTCCGGGCGTGAAGTTCTTGCCTCCGGCCTTTACCTCTCGCTTCTTCCTGGTTTCAGTGACCTCAAGTAACCAGGAATCTCCTATAGTGGAGTGAGAATGCTAGAAGGGAAGAGAGAGAAATAAAAGCATCTCTCTCTCTCTCTCTCTCTCTCTCTCACACACACACACACACACACAGTATTTTTGTGTGTGATTGTTAACTTCAGATTATTTCAATCAGTATTTCTTTCTTTCTTTCTTTCTTTCTTTATTTGATAGAGTTAGACAGTGAGAGAGAAAGAGAGACAGAGAGAAAGGTCTTCTTTCCGTTGGTTCACCCCCCAAATGGCCATTAAGGCTGGAGCTACTCCGATCCAAAGCCAGGAGCCAGGTGCTTCCTCCTGGTCTCCCGTGCAGGTGCAGGTGCCCAAGGACTTGGGCCATCCTCCACTGCTTTCCTGGGCCACAGCAGAGAGCTGGACTGGAAGAGGAGCAACTGGGACTAGACCCCGGCGCCCATATGGGATGCCGGTGCCACAGGCGGAGGATTAACCAAGTGAGCCACGGCACTGTTCCCCTCAAATAAATAAATATTAAGGGGGGGGGGGCCGGTGCCACGGCTCACTAGGCTAATCCTCCGCCTGTGGCACCGGCACCCTGGGTTCTAGTCCCAGTTGGGGCACTGGATTCTGTCCCACATGGTAGACCAGGAGGAAGCACCTGGCTCCTGGCTTCAGATCGGCACAGCACACCAGCTGTAGCAGCCATTTTGGGGGTGCACCAACGAAAGGAAGACCTTTCTCTCTGTCTCTCTCACTGTCCAACTCTGCCTGTCAAGAGAGAGAGAAGTGTCAAGACAGAGTCATCAGCGTGTAGCTGGCATTTAAAGCCATGGTACCTGAAGCCCACTGGCTATCAGATCAAAGTGTAGGCATCAGAAATGAAGACAGGCGGAGGATTAACCTACTGTGCCATGGTGCCGGCCCACACACACATCCTTTTTTAAAGGAAGCAAAATGTTTAAATCTTGGAGGAGGAAGCAAGATAGAGGGGACAGGTGTTAGAGTGGCAAAATTGTTTAAGTTGCCACCT